ATACATGGTGATTTGATCAAGTCCATCTAGCCCTTTGCCCTCCGTGGTCCTCTCCCCTGTCCCCTGTTCCTAGTCTCCTTCCTCTTCCCTAATTGTCTCCCTTCTGTTTTCAGATCACCTTTATTTCTTTGTTTCTTTTTTCTAATTTTCACATATAAAAATAATGTGATACATGTCTTTATGTGTCTGATTTGTTTTGCATCAGGCCCTTCAATTCTATCTGCTTCCCTTCGGACGACATGACTTTATTCTTCTTTATGGTTGAAGGTCATTCTGTTGTTTCATATATAATATTTTCCTCAGTGATCTGTTGATAGGTAATACCTAGGCTGATTCTACTATTCAGGTGTCATGAATGGAGATGCAATAAACAATGCAAATGCAGGTCTCTCTCTTGTGTGGTGACCTCAGTTCCTTCAGGTAAATACAAGTGGTATAATTGAAGTGGTATAATTGGATCATTCTCCTCCCTGGCCCTCTTCCTCTCCCCCTATCCTACCACTCCCTTTTCCCCTCCCACATCCCCTCCCCCTCCCCCTCCCTCTCCCTTACCCACACTTGTTCTTGGTGGCTGTACCAATATGCATTCCCACAGAAGAAGGGAATGGTTCCTAATGAGGAGGAGATTTCTGATTCTCAATGACTGCAATTTCAGCCTACTGAATTTGAGAAAAACGGGGAAGTGTTTCCTATGTCAGAAATAGCTTGAGACAAAGCACTTGTGTAAGGGTGGAGCCTGCTGACACAACCGAACTGCCAAGTTTCAGTTAGAGTTTGATCTGTGGGCAGATGAAAGACCACCTGAATTATCGCAGCTGCAGCTCCAGAGAAATGGGAAAGATCGTGGAAACATCATTTTTAGTGCTAGGCCTTCACCTAACCTGTGAGTCATGGAAGAAAAACCCCAGGATATGTGATTGATTTGAAGGAATAAGAGAACTGGGGTACCAGACAAAATTATGCAGGTAAACATAAAGCAAGGAACAAAAATTTGAGGCTAATGATTGTCATCGTCTCTCCACACAGGGGTGAGTGGCCAACAGAAGGACAGAAGTGACCGGCAGCAGGTGAAGCAAAGTCCTCAATCTCTGACAGTCCAGGAAGGAGGGACTCCAGTTCTGAACTGCACTTATGGGAACAGCGCTTTTGACTACTTCCCGTGGTACCGGCAATTCCCCGGGAAAGGCCCTGAACTACTGATAGCCATACGTTCAGTTCTGAATAAAAACGAAGATGGGCGCTTCACGGTCTTCTTCAGTAAAAGTGAGAAGCAGCTCTCCCTGCGCATCACAGCCTCTCAGCCTGGAGACTCGGCCACCTACTTCTGTGCGGCAGGAACACAGTGCTCCTCAGGCACCTGCAGCCAGCACCCAAACCTGCACCTGAGGCTCCAGCAAAACCCTGCTGTGGCCTGACACCGCCACAGATGCAATGAGTTTTCATCTGAACAAACAGGCGATGCAGTGAAGAAAACACTGTACGGGATAAACTAATTTGGGAACCAAAGGCAAACCAAGCTGAAGTCAGGGTTTGCTTCACTCGGGTCTCCCTTTGCTCTGCAGGAATGGCTGGATTTTCATATACATCTTCATAACTAGTTTGGACAAATTTTTCTAAGTGGTTCTATAAATAATTTTCTATGTGGTTGCTTTATTTAAACTGGAAACTATAAGGCATCATCTCTACATTCTTGTCAACAATGTTATCAATGTTCTTTACTATAGTCTAATGCTATTAGACTTTGACTTTGGCTTATCTTCTACAAATTGTATAGAATTTTCTTTTATGTTAATTTCCCCTGATAATCAGGAAGTGGTATTTTACATACATGATCAGTGGCCATTTCTATCTCCTCTCTTTGAATTGTCTTTTTATATCTTTATCTACTTCAATGAAATGCAAATATGTAAACAAGGAGGCATTTTACACACATGTATACATGTAAACAGTGTTGAAATGAAAAAAAAATGTTTTCAGGTAATGAAAATATATAACTATTTCATCAAAGAAGTGGTTTTCATAGATGAATCAAAAAATATATTGACTGTAAAAAGCAAATTTCAGAAAGAGATACACTACATAGCACCATTTATGAGAAATCTCAAAAATACGAATGAAATTGTGCACATTGGTACATTCCAGTTGTATTTATTTTATTATTATTTCATGTGTATGTATGTGTGTGAGAAGAGGGACCACAATGCATGTGTAGAGGGCAGAGAACAACTTTTTGAAGTCCGTTTGCTCCCTCTGCCTTTACCTGGATTTGGGAGTTGAACTCAGGTCACCAAGTCTCAGGGCAGGTGCTTTACCCATTAAGCTATGCTTGCCTCCATCTCATCATTTTATCACACTTGTCTACAGTATAATATTCTAAATGCCCTGTACAGAAGCTTCCCAGTAATGACTTCTTCCTTGGATACAAAGAATAGACAGAGAATGAAGGAGAAAAAAAATAACAAGAGACAAAAATAGCATAATTCATTAATTTCTTAGTCTTCTTGGTAGGTATAAAAAGTAACTGGTATATAATTTTCTGTTTTTCACTATTAAAATGTGTAATTTTTAAAGTATTCTTTAAACTACATATTTTATTTTATTTTATGTTTTTATTTTGTTGAGACAGGGTCTCCCTATAGCCCCAGCTGACCTGGAAATCACTATATAGACCAGGCTGGCCTTGATCTCACAGAGATCCACCTGCCTCTCCCTCCTCACTCTTCGGATTAAGGGCATGCACCACCACACGCATATTTAAACTATATATTCTGAAATTCATTAATTTTGTGTGTTTCTGTGTGTATATGGATGCACACCTTCAAACCACAGCCTTCATGTGGGGTTCAGAGGACAACTTGTGGGATTCCATTCTTTTCTTCCTCATTGTGGGTCCCAGAGATTGAATTCAGGTTGTCAGAATGACTCACTGAGCTATCTTAGTTGCCCCCAAAGTTTTTTGAATTAAGAGAAACAGAAGTAGCTTTTATGGTATTCAGCAATCCACACAATGGATAAAGGATTGCTTGCTGTCTTATACTTTGTAAAGTGCATTCCTCTAATGCCACAGAAATGCCAAAAAAATTCAATGGAAAACTATTTAAATTGATTTAATCATTAAAGTACGTTCATGCCACATAGCTGAGGGCTCCAGGAATCCAAGCTACGTGAGAGTGTGAAGCACAAGCATGACCCTAGGAGTCAGAGTCTAGCCTGGGCAACACAGTGAAATTTTGTGTCAGAAAATAAAAAGCAAAACCAAACCAAAAAAATGGGAAAGTTGTTGAACTTATAATGCACAACCTACATTCTCTCTTCCCTAGTCAATTGATACTTGGCAGTATGTCTCACAATCCCAGTATATGAATTCCCTGGTTCTCTCAAACTTTAAGACTGAAATTAGGATATCTGGACAGTATTTATATCTGACGGAATAACCTTCATTGAAAAGAAATGTAGACGAGTAAAGAGAACACACTACCTAGAATGGAGTCCAAGTGAGAGGAGAGGCATCATGCAGGACCCAGGAAGGAGAACTGGGAACCCTGGGAACCTCAGCAGGCCTCTGTGCTTAATAGGGAATGAGGGGTTGGGAAGTTTACCAAGAAACGAAAGAGTCTATATGGTCAAATTGCCTTAGAATAACCTAGTTATTGCCATCTGGGTGCTTTCATAAGGCAGTCAAGCAAAAGTCTGTTTTGGAATTGAGTTTGATATAAATTCCTTTACCAGATAAACTTTCAGCATAAAATATCTTGGAGACCAGGATGGCATGCCTTACGGCACGTGGACCTGGAAATTTTAAGATCAGGCCACAATCTCTGCTGAAGGGAGGGACACTGAACATAGCACCCTCAGGTCCCTGTCATGTAGAATACTGCAACTCTAGCAGAAAGAATTTGGCCAGATTAAAATTTTACAGCACTCCTTGCTTTGAGGGAAAGCATCTTGGTCAACAGCCAAGACCTCCTTGTTCTGAACAAATAACTCTCAACTCTCACTAAGAAAAAGAATAGACCAGGTTAAAAGTTTGCCATACCTTGGCCATACTGCTTAGTTATGTGCCGGTGCCAGCCGGCCAAAACGGACAGTACCTGAAAGGGGGAGTGAGGATTGAAAGAAAAAAAAGAAGACAAGAAAGACGCTTCTTGGGAGGGCTCACAGCAAATACTGCCAGCCTCCGTTTATTTCAGTTCTGTCTTTTTATACAGAAGAACTCAATTAGTTACAATTGCTGTATTTCCCCACCTGTATCTGAGGGTCAGGGAGCGGTCAGATCAAAGGTTTCTTGGATCCTTTTGTTTACCACTAATGCCTCAAGGTCAGGTATTGTGAGGCTCTCCAGAAAACTTCTTCCTCCTGAATGGGCAGGTTAAGTACTGGTTTGCATGACACAAACTCAGTAAATGAGGCTGCTGCAGCTCAATGATTAGCGGCTCCCGACAGTTATGCATATCTCTTGGCTTCTATTTAAACCCAGCCATCATGCTAGGTCCCAAAAGAGAGACTTAATGGGCTGCTGAATCTCTTGGTTCCTTTACGCAATGGCCACATTAAATAAATCTCTTTTGCTTGGTAAAAAAAAAAAAAAAAGAAAGAAAGAAAGAAAAAAAAAAGTTTACTCCTGGCCTAAAAGTTAAAGTTTACTATGTTCAAGTAACCCTGAGTAAAGCCAAACTTCCTGCATTTCAAACAGTCTAAAAGTTATATGTCCTCTTTCTCATCTAATTGTGCCCTAAATCTTTTGTGTAACTGACAAACCCTATGTGACTGCCAGTTCTTTTTCTTGTATAAAAACCTATTGAATTTTTCAATAAAATTGACTTGCTGCAAAGAGACACAAGTCCCAGAGTCAGATCCTGCAGTCACCAATATCGCCATCATGGAGAACCGCCTCCCCAAAAATAGAAGGGAATTTTTATTTCTTCAGTGTCCAAAGACAGAAAATTTTATTCTGAACAATATTTACATATTAATAGTGTCATGGATAAAAGAGCACTTGGGGGAAAGGTTTGGTTTTCTGAAAATTATAAGTATTGTAATTATTGTAGAATATTGTCAAATAGTAGACATAAGCTCATAGCAGCAAATGACAGTGCTGGATGTTTGCACCATGACTGTCATGATTCTTCCTTCCCCGGACTCCTAATAAAGCTCAGCACAGAGCTGAGCTGTATTTTGAACTATCAGCCCTCACTGCTGCCAGTGGCAACTGATATGCAACTGGAGCAATGTCAGGATGCAGAACTCTGTTTTGGCTTCATTTGCCTGGGCAGATGTTTTGCTGATGTGAAGTTCCCAGGTTCATGGTGAATGGGAAGGAAGGTGTGGTGAGGACACTTGTCTCTGCCATGAAGCTGGGACTGGTGATCACATTTCACCTTCACATCAGACTAGAGTCTGGAAAACGGGCAAAAGTTGACTGAAAATATGCAGCATTTTCAGAATTCATGCCATTTTATTTCAGAAAAGTCCTTGGGTCCTACCTCAGATTAACTCATTGAATTTTGAAACTTTCAATGTCTAAACTTTAAAAAAAATTTTCCATAAATATTTAGCTTTATTTATTTTGTTTGAAGATTTTAGTTTTAGATATTTCTTTCTGTCTCTTTGCCTCTGTCTCTCTCTTTCTTTCTCTCTGTCTGTCTCAAGGTGTGTGTGTGTGTGTGTGTGTGTATAAGAATGTATGCATACACTGGGCATGGTGGTGCATGCCTTTAATCCCAGAACTTGAGAGGCATAGGCAAGGAGATCTCTGTCAGTTCAAGGCTCCCTGGTATACACAGTGAGTTCCAGGCCAGCTAGGCCTATAGGGAGATCCTGTCTCAAAAATACCACCCCTGCCCAATTAAAGAGTATATGCATACATGCATACATGTGTGTGCAGATGTGTGCAGCAGGGGGCTAAGAAGAGGGCATTAGATCCCTAGGAGCTGATGTTATAAGCAGTTGCAGGATGCCCAGATTGTTACATAAGTACCAGGATCCAAATTCCTACACTCATAACTGAGCAGCAAGAACTCCTGACCACCAAACCACCTCTCCATCCCCCTTAAGCTTTGTTCTTTACCAGATAGTACTGTTTGTAAATTAAATTACAAAGAAAGGCAAAAAATAATGCTTAAAATGGAGCCATTTTTCCAGCTCAGCACATTCAAACGCTCCTAAGCCACGTTTCAGAGGCAGAGGCTGCACTGTACTGTGGGAGCTTGCACCTGCACTCTGGGTCATACAATCTTGCCATCACCCTGCTCCCCAGGCGGCCGTGGGCATAAGCTACTCTCCATCTGCTTAGGTACAAAGACTGCAAATGAGGACACTGACGGCCTGTCAGCACTCAGAACACTCAAATATCAGGAATTAGCACTTGTACCACTCACTGATCTGTTATTTAAATATGTGTCAAAGAATTAGAACTCTTTTAGAGACCTTGTTGGTACTGGCTTTTCTTATTGACTTTTGCTGTATATTAATTTATCATTAAAATAATGAGATCAGATGAAAGACTAAAAGATACATTCTAAATGATTATACAGCATTACACAGAAATTCAACCACTAGTTTATGTGGTGTTAATACGCCCTTAAATACTTGCCAGTTACACATATCCTATTCTTTGGGAGTAAATAATAACCATGAGTTACAGAAAGATCTGTGATAATTGTCATGCAACTGTTTTGTGAGTTTAAAATTCCTGGAATTTAATGGGTGAGATTGAATACTTGGGAGCAATATTACATCCTATCAGGACAATTCTAGGACTTGTTATGTAGTAAGCATACTTCTTTATGTGGAGGGTGCAGGAAGAAATTTTCTTATCCTTTTAAATACCCTTTAAATTAAAACTTTTGGGGGCTAATTTTTTTCAAGTGAGTTTAAAGACATTTTTATTTTTGGTTATGTGTATGTGTATGGGTATCTGCATATGGATATGTGCACATGTGAGTGCAGGTGCCCTTGGAGTCCAGGAGAGGGCATTACAATCGCTGAGGCTAGATACAGTAGGTGGTTATGAGATACCCAACATGGGTACAGGAAACACAACTCAGGTCCTCTGTAAGAACAGTGTGCTCTCTTAACCACTGAGTCATCTCTCCAACCCTCAGAAGTGATTTTTAATAATATTATTACTTAGCTGGGTGTGGTGGTACATAACTTTAATCCCAACAGTAGAGCAGCAGAGGCAGGTGGATCTCTATGAAGCCCAGCTTGGTCTACATAGCAAGTTTCAGGCCAGCTGGGACTACAGGGAGCTCCTGTCTCAAAAAGACAAAAAAGAGGATAATTAATTCTCTCTCTCTCTCTCTCTCTCTCTCTCTCTCTCTCTCTCTCTCTCTCTCGTGTGTGTGTGTGTGTGTGTGTGTGTGTGTATGTGTGTGCGTGTGTGCTGGGGTGCATGTGTGGAGGACAGAGGTCCATGTTGGGTATATTTCTGTATTGTTCCCTACCTTTTCTTTGTGGAAGGCAAAGACTTTCAGTGAACTAAGAGCTCCCTGATTGGACTAGACTGGCTGACCAGTAAGGCCCTGGGATCCTCATGTCTGTGCTTCTCAGTGCTGAGCATTATAGATGCACGCACAATTTTCCTGTGGATGCTGGAAACACAAAATTAGATCCTCAGGCTTGCACAAGAAGTCATTTACCTACTGAGCCATCTCCTCCACCTCTAATGACAAATATTATGAAACAATTTCAAAAACATATGAACAAATGAACAACTTCTGAAATTCTGAGCAACTGCCTTTTATTTGGTTTGGAAGTAGCACAATCAAATAGACCCTAGAACTCATTAAGGAGGAGAAAAGTGCTACAGTTACTCTAGATTCCAGGGCTTCCACTGAGAAATTCAAAGACTTTTGAAGGTTTTTTTCTTCATTAACTTTTATAGTCTATGGATGGAGAAAAGGTAAATGTATGTTAATGATCAGTAAGCACATTATAGAGTAGCCATGTCTTATTTGAGTTATTGAATCCCCCAGTTATTCCACTGAATAACATGGATGTGAAGCAGGTCAACGTGTAGCTCCCCTCAGCCTTATCCTTCAAAAGGAATGCATTTTCTATGCTCTCCTTAAAGTACTCCCTATTTGACTTACCAAGGAAAACAAGTAAAAAGGCAAAAGTTTGTTATACGCTATGCTATTTCTCTCTGTACACGGAACGTGTGGTTTACGATCATAGGAAATGCCATTTCCTGGTTGGTGCACAGCATAAGAACCTAGGTAATAAATACATCTGCACACTGACACCACTCAGAGACTCTGAACTCTGAGCTGAGGCAGAACAGACACATCTGTGCAGGGCATATGCCTCATGCCTTCCCCCAGCCTGCTGTGTGTGCTCGTGGCATTGGCCTTTTCTGGTATGGATGATTCACAAAGAATTTAGATGTTAAGGTTGCAGCATTCCACTGAGGCATGCAGTGTCTCACATGGACCTGAGGAAGAGCAGACATGGGAGAAAAGCAAGTGGAATGTGTCTTCAGTCTGGCTTCCCTTTGGGTCTTAAGTTAATTTAATTCTTATAGTGTTTCGCTCAACATCACATGATCAGTTGTCCATTCTGATTATTCAACAGGATCCACTGTGGCCCAGAAAGTAACTCAAGTCCAACCAGCCACAAGCGGACAGGAGGGGAAAGAGGTCACCCTGGATTGTTCATATGAAACAAGTCAGACCTTATACTATCTTTTTTGGTACAAGCAGCTTCCCAGTGGAGAGATGATTTTCCTTCTTCGTCAAGGTTCTTCTAGTGAAAATGAAAAGAGTGGTCGCTATTCTGTCTCCTTCCAGAGATCAGCCAAGTCCATCAGCCTCACCATTTCAGCCTTGCAGCTGGAAGATTCAGCGAAGTATTTCTGTGCTCTTGGGGAACTCACAGTGTTTGAAAAGATACTACAAGCTGAACAAAAACTGGAGCTCCTTAAGCACGGTCCTTCTTGGAGTTTAGCTGAGAGGCACACCTGCACATCCTCAACAAGGTCCCAACTGTGGCTTCCTAATCTGTGGTCTGAGTCAGAAGTTTGATTCTAAATTAAACTTCCTTCCACATAATTTAGGAAAAGTTTTTGTGAACAACTTTCTTCTATTGTCTAGAAGTTTTTTAGTGAAAAAAAATAAAGCACTCAGAAAGTGTATAGATTTTCTAAAGTTGCAAACCTTGCACCATAATAATTTAAATTGTCAGATTCTCTGACAGATAGATGATAACGGAACACACCTAGGTGTAATTATCTGGAATAATAGAGAAAATAAATTCTTTAGTCTTTAATCCTCACGCTTTTGAAAGTTAGAACCAAAGGAACAGAACATTCAGGATTGAAGTAGAAGACATCAGTTGTAAGGAATTGACATCCTGAAATTCCTGGAGCTGATGGGCGGTCTCTGCAAATCATTGTCCTTGAATGTGATGGTGAGCCTAAATTACTAACGGTCAGCTAGACCAGTGATTACGAAGGAAAGCTGCATGTACGCAGCCCTTGCAAAGGTGCCGTGAGACCCATGACAGCAACAGGACCTGTGATGACAAACTCCCCTCACTCCCAGATCTATTTGCTGATGAACTTCAGGAGACACAGTATTGTTTGCCAATATGCAAGTCACATAGTTTGCCCAAGACAAAGAAAACCTAGAGAAAGTGGAGAGCATGGATCAGTAGTAAACTGAGCTGTGTATGAGCTGCCCCAGTGACTGGTGCCTCAATCTCAGAGTCATGTAAGAAATACATGCTCTATCACACTTTTCTCTCAAGTCTTACACAGTTTATTCTTTCATAGCCAATCCTAAAACCAAACAACATGGGGAAGTAAATTCTGGGAAGTCTGTTTCTGATTAGCTTGAAATTCCTAAAAAACCATAGGACTTCTGGGTAAGACATCAGATTAGAAGACGCATTGGAGTGATCAGATGAAAAACTAGTGATTTTCATCTAGTTTCAACTAGTGAATCAAAACTCACAGGATTCTACTCTTATAAGAATAAAGCTAAAGAAAAAAATTAGAAAATTAGCTA